ACAGGATTCTGCGTTTTTTAGGCACAAGATAAATCTATTGAGGAGATACTTTTTGCAAATGTTAGCTGGCCAGAAATCACATAGGGCAGAGTTCAATCAGGGTAATTCAATTTTATCAACCGAGTTGGAAATGTTAATTGGCCACGGGCTAACTTTACGAGCATTAGCCCTTCGTCAGAGTGAATAGGGTCTCCACCAAGGCTAACGCCTGACTAGTCATCTTTAGTAACTTCTCATGGTGGCCGGTCGAATGTATATTATAGACTTAGTCGATAAAACAAAATTACCTCCCCTCCCCACCCACAAAAAGTATGGAAAATGGAACACAATTTGAGATAACGAGGAGTTCGAGTTAACTAATGATAAAATAGGCAAACTGCCAATAAAGAGAAAAAGCTGTAAGCTGGGGCTACATTTTGGTCCCGGTTCACCGATTTTCACTAAGTGTTGTACAAATATGCCTCATTATGATCTCCACATATGAGGCAGTTCTTATTAACAAGCCAATCGAGATGCATCTGCAGTGATCTATTACGCTGCACGAAAACCACCAAGGGATCACTATAGAGGATTTTTTTTTTTCTTTTTTGGGATGTCGCATGGTTTTCAGGGGGAACGGAGACGAGATCATACATCACTGACGGAGTATTGGAGTGTAAAACACAGATGCCGAATAACAAAGCCTTAGAGGGGTTTCAGGTAAATTTTAAGGTGAAACACCCCCCCCTTCCCGGAAAAAAATTGTTATTGTCCCTAATTGTTTTTATAGCAAGATACCCCAGGGATAAAAAAAAAAAAAATAGAGAACGAGAATCAGAAAATCCAAAAAAATTCCATAAAACTCACCTTCCCTGCACGGCAATCATTTGTTGTTGCAATCGTAAAATAGCATTATGCAGGTAACCACCAAAAGCCGTGTTGCCACTGACTTGTACATTATTTCGATTCTGCCTACGCAGTCTCACTTTTCTTCCCTCCGTCGTTTGCCCAACAGTTTTACCCGCATCTGATCGTGTTTTTGTAGAGGTTTTCTCTTCAGCAAAGAGCATCTTGTCTTCCTTTTGCATTGTTCCATTCTTTGAGTTGACGAGCTCTCTATTTTGCGGACAATTGCACTGTGGCTGCGGCGGAGCAAGGAAGAAAACATAAACAAGGCAAACTAAAGAAATCAAGATGGCTATAACACTGATGCCTGTTGCCAGCGCCGTTCCGCCAAACCGTTCTTTAGCCGGGTCGACCATGTTTAGTATTGAAGTTGCGTTGACCAGTTTGCAAACGAATTGTTTTAACAACTCGCGCGTTCAAAGCACCAATCTACCACAGCATATGCGTATTAAAATTAAAATTTGAGCAGATCGGGCTTGTTGTCGTAGAACAAAGCATCTTTCACTTCAACACTTTGCTTGAAACCTAATGCTAGGGGTCAACCCACATGCGAATTTCCACCCTAGCTAGTCATCGTACCGAGCTTGGCTTGGCTAATCCAGCCGTGATAAGGTTACAGCTTTTTTTTGTCTCTTTTTTCGACACTCCACTAAATTCGATTTTGTGTTTAGTTTCAAGACAAAAAATTTAGCACAGAGGCCGTGATATGGAAAAAACAAATGCTCAATCATCAACGTATCGGTCAATACGTACTAATATTTTATAAGGTATCCTCTTTCCATCACGGGAGACCCAGACCAAACGACTCACCCTGCCCCCGTCAGTCACGAGCAAATTTACAGACTCTTCTCCCCCTCAAGAAAGCATCGATCGGCTTTCCAATTGCAAAGTTTTAAAATTAAGCAAAAGCCAAATCCTTTTCAAATGCTTATTCGGTTGAAAATCTTTTTAATCTTAACCTGAAATATTTTACATTCTAAACAAAAAAAAAAATTTTATTCTATATTTTTTCTGGCATGGTGTTGGCGTCCGCCATTTCCGATAGTGGGGTTTTTGCTTTGTCAAGTTCGAGTCCCAAGATCATAGAGTTGGGAAAGGATCCTTTGCGGAAACATTAAACTGATAATTTGGTCACAGCAGTGCGAATTTTTTTTTAGAAATAGTGGGGCGCACAAAAGAGCCATTTACATACCTAGACTCGATTAACAGCCGCTGTTCGGGAATCGGAGCCCGCGCTACTCGGGGAGGAACGATAAAGACCGGGCTCGAGAGAGCGGCGAAAATCGAGCCCAGTATCTCCCCAGCCTAAACTTTCTCCCCTGAGTCATCCCCCCGTGAGTCATCAGAGCACAAAATAATGTTATCTTTAAACTTGTACTTTGACCAATTCGATATTAAAAATAGAATGCTTACAACTTCCGCCCAGATTATCAATTACATACCTTCAGTCATAAAATATGGTAATAGGAGTAATTCAGCGTCTTGTAAGTTACACATGGTGACTTAAGATTACATAATACCTCTAAATGTAGTTTTATAGAGCGAGGTCATGCGATTTACAAAATATTTTTGACAGGACAAACAAAATGGTCTTCGTAAGGAAGCCCATTTTATATAGCTATTGTTGGAATGAACTTTTTGCAGTTGTGATACAAACGCTAGCGTGCACTCAAAAGTCGAAGAACAGAACTGAATCTTTGCTTCTGTAGATTTGCTTGCTTAACATAACTTATGTAATCAGCGCCCTTGGCTTTCTTTTTTTTTTACCATCATCCAGTACTGGAAGTTCAAGAAACCGAACTCAACTATTGCATTTTATAAACATATTTTCTCCTGCTTTTATAATCTTCCTCTGATTTGTATTCCCCTCGTAATCGCGCGCGAAGAAGTTATCTTCCGCTCAACAGTGATACGAATCTGCTGCCGAAGGTACACCAACGGTTTGGCCCAAAACCATCGGTGATGACTGGTTAAGCTGGGTTTCCTGCGTTGCTGTTACCGAATCTAAGAGATTGAGCACAAAAACCAAGTCAAACATAATTCAAAATTGTAATTTTGATTGATATTTCCCTGAAACGACGTCGAAGCGCAAAACGTGGCCCTATTTTTCAAATACATCACTGAAAAACACTTCCATCGGCAAAATAAAATCCCTGTCATTTATAATATTAGTTCCTCTGTCAGGGACTGTGAGCCTCAATAGACGCACTCGCTTCCTCATTCGTGGACATCGCAAAAAAACTCGCGCGCGATATTTCCTGCTAGAGCTCGAACTGCTGCGCACATACCTTGCGTGGCTGGCTTGGTGGTATGGTCGCACGGGAAGGACGCGCGTGGAAATTTTTGGCGCGTAAACTCGGAGTTGTCCACTCTCCACAATAAGTGGCACCAATGCCGGCCACCAGCCCAAGTCTACAGTCAAGAAAGGTAGACTATATGTAGCCATTATACTTACTTGAAGTCATAAGTTTTCTCAGTTTTTTCCTCCTTTTGGAGCAGACTCTAGCTGTTATCACAACCAGCCAAGTTATTACAGCACCGACCACAAATCCGAAAAAGAATCCCATAATAACAATTTCCATTGATGAGAAAGGCATTTTTTCTGTCTTGACGAACTGAGATGCTGAGAGACTCGTATGTACTTTAGTTTTCTCGCGCGTTGCTGTTACAGTTGATGTTGAGGCAGTCGTGATTTCTGTAAAATAATAATAAAAAAAGGTAGTATCTAGAAAATTCGCTACAGACTGAAAAGTTCGCTCTCCTCCTATTTCTTCCAAGATCTTCCGAGATAATCGTAGCACAGAAGTTGCCGTTTTCCAAACGGTAATCGGGTTTTGACGAAAATGGGAAGATAACGTACGATCGTGTATCGCGTGCGTTGCGTGTAAGATGCAAAAATCTTCGCCCTATGATTAGTATTGGAGAGGATTATTAGCCCGGCGAATAAACAAAACAAGAAACCTCCCTAAAATGTTACCTTAAAACAGAAACTTGTTCAGTATCCAGGAGATTCAACGCCAAGTCACTGGGATCCCACGACCTTAGAGTATCCCGAAAACCAATACAGCAAACCGAAGAATATAGTCGCCTTTGTTGTCATATTCTGTGCGTGTCAGAATGAAAAATGCCCGAAATGTAGGTCAAGGTCACCGACAAAATTCTAACACGGCGTCTTAGGCTGGCTAAGTAATTTTATACATCGGAACAATGCGAATGCGCTGACGCAATTGTTATATGATACTAACTTGTGGTGGGCTACAAATCTGAGGTGATCTCCTTTGGTAAAATATTACCCAGGGGTCAAAAAGGGTGGACTGCCTCATCAGCAGTCATATGATATTTCGAAAGTGCACTCTCAGCAAAAAGTGCGGGAAATTTCCCTTTACGAGTCCAGAGTCCTGCTTCTCTTTGAAAACATGAAAGAGGTAATTGCGATTTAGCTAAAAGGCTTCTTCACAAGAGGAGAGTGTCTCCCTTTTGCTGAAATAAGGAGCATGTAACAAAACCAACGCCAACAAGTATCATAAAATGTGCCAAGATTAATCAAAGAATGGGACCCCACCGCATTACCCAAACAACACATTTTTACGCGTCGAAAGCCAAATGTGAACTTCGAGTTTTTCTCATATATATCTCGCAATTTCTTTGACCTAACCACCGTGTTATTACGGCCAAATTTTCACGGCTAGACTTCGGGGGAATAATCGTTCAAGGGAAATAAGTATATTTTACGTTGAAATGTGCTGACTTGCAGAAATGGAGTGGAGATTTTTCATTGAAATTTAAGGATAATCGAAGAGGAAACAACAGTGAAAATGAAAAAGCCTTCAAGTAATCAGAATGACACTTACTTAAACAACAGGTGTGGCAGTTCTCGTAGTGAGGTTGCTCAGTACAAACGCTGCAGTTGATGTAGTCGAACACGCTGGCCTCATAGAATTTGCCATCCTTGCATGGCGCTGGTTGCTGACTACTTCGACTGATTAACGACAAGAGCAAAACAGCTCCTAAAATCGAAGTCATGATGTAGCCACAACGATTATATTCCAATTAGAGGTGGAAGCAGCGATGTCAGGAAACAAAACGGTGGAATGGGGAAAAACGGTTTTCATCAGTTTTTATATGATTCTGCATTGTTGGGGGAATCCCCTGGGCCTTCTACTTTTGAGATCAAGTTACAGCAAAGTGCTGATCAATCTGAACAAGTCTTGGAAACGAGGTGTGACATTAAATTCTGACCAGAAATAATTTCTAATAGCCTGTTTACCTTCGATCAATTGTGAATAAAGAAGACCTTAGCAAAGTGTTGGTCACTCTGTCCGGTTTTAGTGTCCTCCTTCTTATTCCGTTGTTGACCCGTTTATCCCTTAACGATAAAAGAGCACTATCATTAGGTAACGAGCGCGACCAACACACGTTCCCAGGCCCCTTATTCTTCTCTTCAAATAAGACTCCAGCCGTGGGTTTCGCCGGGTGTTAGTCATGCGCAGTAACAACATTAACCTTTTGCAGAACGCATCATGAGTATTGACTGATTACAAGATTTCGTTTTGTTAAAGTGTGGGGGGGGGGGGGAGACTTAGACATGTACACACGTTCTATATTGACATCATGAAATACTTAAAGGCCAAGGAGCTCGTTTGAGGTAAACTCAAACTAATTTCTTTAAAATTCCACGCAAAATGTTTAACATCAGCAATCCGGTGTGTCTGTCTGCGTTACAAAACTATCAAATTTTTTCAAGTTTTACGGCATTTTGTTTTCCTATTCCTTGCAAAACGACTGTATAAATACTCTGTTTACAAATACAGTAATTGATATCTGATTTCTAGAATGTCGTGTAGCGACGAGTGACATCGTTGCGTGACATCCCAAAAAGCAGTTGTATTGCATTTTATTATATGGCTGTGTCTCACAAGGACTGGGATCTACCGAACTCATGAATTTGATTGGCTGAAATCAATATTGAAAGCGGTCAAGGTTTTCCCATCTAGACCGGCATCTACACCGGTCTAGAAAAAAAAGGTACAAAGAATATAAAAATTGGCATATAAGACACAGCCATAATTATAATAAACATCTTATTAACCAAGCTAGGTTGGTCTGTATGGGAGAATCTTGACCTTGGTTGCTGGTAAAGACCTCACTGCTTTCGATCTGTACTGGTGACCTCGGTCAAGATTCTCCTATACAGACCTCCCGCTTGGTTAGTAAGAACTAAATACAAACCTTTTTAAATATAAAACGTTGTGCAACACTGTAAGAGTCACGTCCGCTCTT